AGTGAATTCAGCTGGTATTTGTCTGTCTCTCTCTGGCTTATTTCACTTAGCATAATTCCCTGAAATTCCATACTTGCTCCTAAAAATAGCAGTTTTTATTTTTAATAGCTGAATAGTATTCCCTCGTGTACATGCACCACATCTTCTTAATGCAGCTTCTAGGAGGAGCTTAAACAAATTTACAGGTGATATAGAGGTGGCTGATTCACAGACCAAATTTTGAACAGAACGAACCAGGAACTTCTGTTATGAGAGAATTCTTCAAATTCTGGGTTCTTAAAATTGCGTGACTTAGAGGTATGACCAGTGGTTCTAATAGATATTGAACCTCTGTTATTCTTAGCATGAGCCATGCTACAAACTGAAAGTCCATTTGAGTAGGTGAAAGCTTTCAATACATTACTCTTTGTTTTGTTGATGTTGCTCAATCATTGTCTAAAATACAGATTCAAGACAACAGCAAAGTTTTATAACTCAACCATCAGTTGTTACAAATAGATTTGAAAAAAAAATCCTAGGCTTATGAACCATATTGTTAATTGTCAATTAAGAATGATGTGAATCTATTGGGCTAGGTTTAATTAATTTTTTCCTTTGGCTGATCAGTAGGTTTCAGGAGTGAACACAAATGTTTATTTGGAGGACTGAAGAATGTGTTTATAGTTCTGATGATAAACTAGAAGGTCATCATGCCCAAAGGATATTTGTGCCCATTTTGGGGAGAATTATAAAGGAGTGTGTTATTGTGGGATGGATAATGGTGGGTTCCTTCTACACTTAGCAATTTCATTGCAATGATACAGCTGTGTACTATGGGAACCCACCCAAACACTTGGCAGAAGTAGAATACCAATGGTTCATTTCTAATTAAACTTGTTTATTTTATTTTTTTCTTGGTGTGTGTATGGCCTTATTTCAGGTTTGAATTCTTTCTGTGATACAAAGACTGAATGCAGCAAAATATAAAGTCTGCAAAGAAAGACTATTTTTAATGTTCTAGACCCATTTATTTCCCATGAAGCCTTCCTTTGCTTCACTTCATCCATTCCCTCATATCAGGCATTGTTTGCTGTATCTCCTTCCTCTCCTATCTTTTATATAAGATTCTTAGGGAATAATCTAGTACAGGTGTCAGAGGTTACAAATCAATATGCTTTTTGAAAGCATATTTACATTTAAATTGTTATTTTGATTTTGAATTGGAAAATGATGTAACTAGTTATTGGAAAATTAGACCATGAGGAGCATCATAGAGCTTTCTGTGGGTTTGATCACGAGTTGATCGTGGTTGGTTTGAAGACTTAAATAACAATTCCAGTTGTCTTGGGAGTTCTTTGGGCTAAACTAACTTGATAATTAGTAGACTACTGATCAATAACATATGTTCTAGTTTTTCCAAGGACACTTTTTCCTCTGTATCCCCAAGTGACTTATACTTGGAAAGGATAATTCAGATTTCAAAATGAAAAGGGATCATATCACATTGTACCTTGCAAAGGTGCCTTGTAATTTTGCTATTTTCTCTTTTAACACTTTGTATTCAGATGCCTTATTAAAAACAATCGCAGGAGTAAGGGAAAAGGCAAAGAAGAGGAAATCAAAGATAGGGTAGTTTTTTTCTCATTTATTTTTATTTCAACAAATATTTATAGATTACCTATCATTTGTGGGGTCTACAAATAATATTTTTTTGACTTATTTCAAAACATTAAGGTCCTCTTGAAAAAAAAAATTAACAAAAGTCACACCAAAATTTTCCATTTAGACAAATACCTGGGTGCCATGTTGTACAACACTACTGGGTGACTTTTGCAGATGGTACCCATGGAATTGTATAATACCCAACTTGCCCAGGCCTCTGAGGCTGATAAACTTTGATAGTTACTAAAGGGGCAATGAAAATGATAACTTTTTGTCCACAAAATGCTTCTTAAGATATTTGTTCCCCTTTGTTAATATGATAACCATGTTATTTTCTCTCCTAAAACAAATTGGCAAAAAGATACCAAATGGACCCAAGTGCTCTAAAACAAAAAAATTTAAAGTTCATTTTTTGTAATTCATATGGACAAAAAAGCATGAAACAGTGAAAAAGAGTTTTAAAGTAATTTCAAGTGACTTAGCTCTACCTTATAGTATTTGGGGTTATTAAAAGACAGGTCTGATCTCACCGATTGCATGGAGACTGTTTATTTCTCTTCTCCCAACAAAAATTATTCTCTAAAGTCAAATGTTTGGCTTCTCTTTATGCAAACTTGATTAAAAAACAAAAAGCACAAATTGAGCCAGTGAGGCAAAAGGCTGAGAAGATTCTATTCAGTGGCAGAAAACCAAAATTGTCAATGCCTTTTCATTGTGTGTGTGTGTGTGTGTGTGTGTGTGTTTTAACAAAGAACCCCAAACTAAAGGTGGAATGTTTCACTAGGGCCTTTGCAAACACACAGCTATCAAAGGGTTTTGTGAGTAATTAGTAATGTGAATGCAGCCGTCACATTCTGAGATGTGTACATATCTATCCAAGCAGAGGGGAAATTGTGTAATTAATTTTGAAGCTGTTATGATGTTTCAATTGATTTGGATCAGAAAAAGGAGAACAATTAAGAAGAATCAGAAAACAATATCCCTTTTAGTATTCTAAAGGGAGGAGAAAAATTAAATAGGAGTTTAATTGAAAAATTCTGATCTATATGAGGGAAATAGAAGGCTGCATAAAAAAGGAATCTTGACTTAAGATGGGAACACAATAGCTGACCAGCATCTGGGACAATAAAAGTTTAAGTGCTAATGACCACAGAGCCTTCGGTAGGGTGGGACGGTCAGAAGCCAAAATATTCAAATCATTTCAGGTACCACTAAACCCAAAACTTCTATTTGAACAAACTCCTTCTAGAACTACTCTGTCAAAAAAGCATCATTCCATATTAATTCCTAGAACAAAGTATGAAATACCATCATCAATCTAGTTATCCCATGAGCTCTTATGGTTTATTTTGCCTCCATGTGGCCATTTGACTATGGAAATTGGGAAAAACATGGATGTCTTTAGCCTAGATCTTTCTAAATTGCAATCAGTAACTTACTTTCTTTTTTTTAATTTTTTTTAAGATTTATTTTATTTATACAAGAGCAGGGTACAGGCCAGATGTGCAAGAGAATGAGAGGATTCACCAGAGACAGAGCGGGGAACAGAACAGGCAGAATGACCAAAATACACTGCTGAGGGGAGCAGCAGGCGAGACAGGAGAGGTCTGCTGCACCATGTGGGTTGCTCCGCAGCCGGTGGGGATTGAACCGGCACTGGAGAGGCTGCGGAGAGCTTCACAATGCTGCGCTCAACCCTCTGTGCCACCGGGGAGGCCCCAGTAACTTACTTTCTTACTGGAAAAAGTTTATTGATATGTTTCCAGGTTAATGGCACAGGGTAAAAGGGAAAAAAAGAGAACCCATTTCAAAGTTTTCAAAACAACCTTTCATAGAATATGTAGGAATTATATGGAAGAAAAAAATTCACTATCTATAGTTATCACTCACTCATTAATTACTTGATTGTTTATTGTGTTCACTACATTTATAATCTTACTCCCCGCTACTGCTTCAATCATTCTTGCTAGGAAAAAAAATGCAAAGTTTTCTCTGTGTCTGCTATATTCATAATTCTCTTGAGAGCACAGAATTTTCAGGAAAACCACTGCGTTATCTTGGTTCTTCCCAAGCCATGTCTCTTTGGAATGTTACTTAAATAAAGAAGACAGGGCAATGCAGATAAAGAAAATATATATTATATCAACTGCATATCGACTGCTTAACATTTGATTTAAAAATAATGGCATGCCTCTGAAATGTGGAAGAATTTTTGCCTTAAAAAGAGACTAAAATTAGTATTCAATAAATTTTGCTCAAATTGTATAATTCATTTTCTTCTGATAAGTATAGTTTCATGACCTCAAATCTCCTCATGAGCCAGATTTTCAGAATGATTCTTTGCTAATCATCTAAGAAAATTGAAGTCCAAAAGAAATAAATGGACAAAAGTTCATATTTTATAGAGATAACTGTTTCTAGCCTCAAGTTAGATGCATATATGGCCAAGAGGTAGAATCCCCTTTCTCGTCAGCTACTATTTTATTTTAACTTTTTAAAATTCAACGTACTCATTATCTTGGGAGAGAGCATTTTAGGCAGACCAGACAAGATGAAGAGTCACTTCTACCCCAATTTTGATGTTTTTCTAAGCTCAGCCTACATGGTGAAGCAGTAGGGTCTGGTTAGTGGTTGATAAAGGAAGCAACCTGTTAGAATATGCAAAATTTTACCTATGTCACTGCCATGTGTTAGAATGTGTAAACTAAAAGTTCCAGTTTTACTCACCCTATAGGAAGGTATGCATCGATTTTGTGTTGAGATTGCCTGATAGTTCATCTTTTCTCAGCTCTTTTTTTCTCTCTCTCTCTTATGCCAAAAAGAAAAGTCAGCTGAGACTAGTTTGTGGTACATTCTGGGGAAGGACAAGGGTCACATAACTCTAACTCTTTGACTATGGGGTAAAAAGAACATGTGCAAGCAAAAGCCACTCAGTATGTACAAGTAAGAGTTGATCAATATATTTAGAAAACCCCAGGATTATAGTCTCTTGACATCTTCCCCGGTGACTCTACAGAGATTGCTTTTTGGCCTTCCTTGAAAGTAGGGTGTGTGCTCTTGAGTCCATTCTTTTCTAGAAAGCAGCTTTTCTGAGGATATTTATATCATAATCTGATTGTCATAAATCAAGGCGGTGTTTTGTATTATAATCTGGTCGTCACAAGTCATGGCGGTGTGGAGCTTAAATTGCAATGTTTTCCATAAACGATTCCATCTTGAGAAGAGCAGGTTTGAATTTCCTCTAATGACAGAGTAAAACTGACTTTGGTACAAGATGCGGGGACACCCATGTTTCTCTCCAGGCACTCCTTTCATTCCTGCCCCTTCAGTGAATTTTTTTTTTTTTTTTTTTTTTTTTTGTATATATGGCCAAGGGCTTCTTACCTGGTCGCTAAGGCTTCTGTCTCCTTGGCAACTAAACTTTTCAAGATTACAGGAAAAACGCTTTTTTTCAGTCTTGGAGCTATCTTACTGCTTTCAAATGTCAGCAGAAAAGGTGCTGGTCCCAATGGTGCTGGTGTGAATAGGGCCAAGAAGACAGTATTTAAAAACATGTTTAGTCATTTCAACAAATGTTGAAATGTCCAAACCAAATGCAAATTGAAAATATGAAAAATAATGTAAAGAAACTGTGGAAGAAGTTTTGAACTTAAGCAGAAGGAGAATCCCCTGTGGTTGTCTCAGACAGTGGGTATGGGGCACCCTGCTTTCCTTCATTTTAAGGCAATGGAGATTTGCTTTCAAAATTGATGGAGTAGAAAAGGGCAAAGGAAATGACATCACAAAAGTTCTCACACTGACTTTCATCTTGAGAGCAAAGGAAATGCAGATTTTTTAAAAAAACATTTCCCCCTCACTTATTAGATCTTCTCCAAAAGCCCTCATCAGTTTTGGGAACTAATCTTCAACCGTTCATCTGGAAATTCTTTTTAAGTAACTTGGTCTTTTCACATTCTTCATTTTTTACACCCCAAATCATTCCCCTCTGCCCCCCAACAGAACAGATGGATATAGGGGAGAGACTATGTTCTGAGGGTAGTGAGGAAATAGATTCTCTAGGTTTCAGGTTTTTGACCTGCGATCTCATGCTTTTTCTGGAATGGTGACCTTTGACCCCTTCTGCACCTGGCAGGTAGGCTTTGGGGCCTCTACTCTGTTGATGTGTCAGAGTGCAGGGATCCTCTGTCATTCTCCTTGACCTGGAACTGTGCAGGCACTCCCTGTGCAGGAAGCCCCTGCGGTATGGCAGCAACTCCCAGATTCGAGGGGCAAACCTATGTTGTGGTCCTCAGTTTTGCACCCTGATACCTTTTCTCCTGCCGAGGCGACACAGCAAGCCCCAAAGGGACACCCAAGTTCCCATCCTCCCTCAGGCTCCTATCAATTTGCCCATGGATTAAAATTTTTTGAATTCTTTACTGAGTTAATATACTTGAGATCTAGAAAAAAGGTGTTTTAATTCAAAGCGATGAGTTGTTCAGAGTTGTGGCTGTACGTTCAATAAACAGTTCTGACTGTGATTCATTTTATTCTTAGGGGGTTTCCATGAGACAGGACAATACTGTTTGGTTTGTCTTTTTATACTGGTTATTGATAAAGTTTAAAAAAAAAGTTTGACCTTCACTATTGTTTTCACTGTCTCTCTGGTAACCTGGCTCTAAAGATAAGTTATTAAATTATTTGGCAAACAATGGGCTTATATTGAGCCCATTGTACAACTATTGCCCAGGTTACTTTTCAATAACACCACAACCAAACCAACAGACATTTTATTAAGAAATATCCCTTAGCCAAATAATTCAACCTGTCTGTGGTCTTATAGTTGCATATAAGAATTGACACAACTTGTCTGCTTCATTAATGTTAACACACAGTTGTGAACTCACAAGACAGCTTTCCATTGAGTTCTCTTAACTTTCATTGGTTTTGCTCTTATCATTTTTTTTTTTTTTTTTTGCATTTGGCTAAAATATTTCCTCTGTCTTCCCTTGTCCTTTGTTATTTTTGTTGACATCTGGAATATTCTTATAGTTTCTTGCTTGCTTGTTTAAGATCAGGTGACCTAGGAGGCAATATTGAAGTGGTAAATTAGGATTAGCAGGGTTAGTATCTGCACCTCTTTATTAGTAGCCTGGTATTTGGAACAGGACTTGATGACATTTGAGGGTAGATGTCAGAAGACTCCGTCTAAGCAAGTGGCCTTTCATGCAAAATTTTGTTGAGTCCCCTCTGTCATATGAAAATTATGACCAGGAAGTTCTGACCATACCATGACATCACAAGTGGAGAGGTGACAGTCTTTTCTGAGAGAGACTGGCAGGTGATTCCTTTAGCTATAATTAAGAGACACTTGTTATTGGTGCCTAACTTTAACACTATCCATCATGAGATATTCTGATGTCAAATTCCTTTTGACTTTTTCTGATAACCCTTTAATTATTTACTAGAATAGAGATGTTTTAGGACATGGAAGGGTGGGGAGAAGAACAAAGCTGACATATCTGAACAAGTGAGTAATTTATAATGGAACTAAAATATTCATAAAATGACAACTCAGATACTTCAATTAACACCATCCCTTCTATTTCCATTTCAAATAGTAAATTGAAGCTTCTAAATGATGTTTGTTTTGCAATGGATGATGCATTTCTGAACTGAGCAGGCATATGTGAAGTCACTACCTTTGTGCTCATTTGATCTCTTTAGATCTAGGATAGGAAATGGACTATTAATAAACATCAGCAGAAAGAGTAGAAACAGGAACTCACTTTCTAACCCATTGATTCTTCAGTATTTCCCAGAAAAGAGGTCACTGACTTAACTCAGTTATTTGGTATCATTTTACATTGGCTTGCAAGCATTTTGCTTTTGGAGAAGTAAGAATTTGGGCACACAACTGGATGGATAAAGCAAAATCTTTAGTTCATATATATTCTTATAATTGGTCTTTGTTTATCTCAGTTCAATTTAGTTATATAGTTGGTTAATTATTTAAAATATGTAAGCAGCACTTGCATAAACTTCAAACAAAAACAAAGCTAAACCTTGATCATAACTGACATCTAACTATGTATGCTCCCCGCCAACATGTTCTCAATCTTTTCCTGGTTGGAGGAGAAATCTAAAGTCAGTAAAGATAAATGACTTGCCCAGTGTCACACAGTGGGTGAACGTGGAGATGGATTTCAAACACAGCCTGAAACCTCCTAACCATTAAGTATATGTTTAGAAAAATTGCAGAATGTCAGGGGTGTTCTAAACAACAAAAAAAGGGTAAAATGGGGAGAAAGTTTCATGGAACAGATGACACTTTATCTCATTGTCAGAAGAGTAATCATCTATTACACGATGGGTAAAAATGAAAATATTAGGAACATTCTAGCTTGACACACATCAGCCTAATTTTATATAAAAGCGAGAGGAATAGGAATACCTATAAAGCCACTTATACATATGTGGATTACATTTACTGAGCGTTCTAAAATCATTAACCTAATATGTCATATTTGTGCCAGCTAAATCTTCCATCATTTTATGCCACATAGGGCTCAAAAATAATCACCAAGTGCCCCCCTTTACATATCTATCCAAGGAGTATCACCTCCCTCAATGTAGTCACCTCGGAAGACGTGGCACTTGCTCCTTTGATGCTGCCAATTTCTTGAAATGATTTTGGAGCTTCTTCAGTGAATTTTCACTCACTGCCATCTGAAGAAATGCCCAATAACATCAATATCATTATTTAAATCGCCCATCTCCCCAACACCACTACCATCCAGAACAACATCACGGATGATTCTATCAATCGGAGTTGTGGGATGCAAACAACAGAAACCGAATCTTAGTGATGTGAGAAGAAAAGAAACTTATTAATAGAAAATAGGATATTTCCTAGAATTTCTGGAAGTGCTGAAGAACTATGCTTTTTAAGTAGGCAGATACTAACAGCATTCAAGAAGTCCTAATGACTCTAAGACTCATCATTGGGAGAGGATAGTTGAGTGTGGGGTGCCACAGTCCACAGCTGCCGTCACCAGCAAAAGACCCTGGCTGCTGCCGCTGCATTGTACATAATGCCACTGTATCCAGAAGTCATTCTCCCCTGTTCCTTTTCCTTGATCTGCCAGTTCCAGATTAAAAATCTCAGTTGGGTCCTTCTGATTGACTAACACTGCATCGTGATCTATAACTTTCAGAAGAGTCATGAAAAGGAGCATCTGGCTTCACCTCCTTCTTCAGTGTTCAGTGAACTCTCTTCCCATGTGGTAGAGAAAGGCTCCCCCATGGAGAAAGCCTCCCCTTTACCTGTGTCTTCATACACAGGGTGCAGTTTTTTTTCATGGTTGCTGGTCAGGATCTATATTTTCAGGTCATCTTGCATTTGATGTGGCCATGTGATTCGTTCTTGTGAATAGAATGGAAGTCCCGATGGTATGGAAACAGTAACTACTTCTGGGCTGATGTGGTTAAGGATGGGTGTGCCTTTTTCTCTTTCTTCTCCTTTAGGACCTTGTATTAAGACAATGAAACCACAAGATGGAAGGAACTTGGAATCTTAGACTAGAATGGAAGATCAGCTAAATTCCAGCTTTGGACTGTTATGCGAATTAAAAGCTAAGTTTTTGGAGTTTATCTCACTGATATTAATTTTTTCTATGCTTCACACTCAGTCTTCATTGGTATTAACTGGGCTGGTTTGTGATATTTCATTGAATGTATGAACGATTGTTCTCTACTGTAGGAAGAGTCAATTTACTGTACTTAGGATAGGGATCTGGGAGAGGGTACCTGACATCTTTTAGAACTAGGTCAATATTTCTAATCTTTTCTTGATGTGATACCCAGGGAGAGTGATACAGACTGGAATATCCTTCTGGTTGTGGCCTATGCTGGGTTATATAGACCCTAAGTTGTAGATGTAATTCTGCCTAGACTTAATTCTTTCAATGACTTTGAATATGCCCGTGTGTGTGTGTGTGTGTGTGTGTGTGTGTGTGTGTGTGTGTAAAATCAACCAGCTCCACATTTCCATACTTTAGCATTTGTAGAAAATTACTTGAGGCACACCCTACAATCATACAACATATCAGTACATCAGGACCCTGAGGTTAGTTAGCACTTTCTACCAAGCGTGGGCTTGAATAGAGAGCTACTGGGGGAAAAGGATAGGGTTCATTTAGTTCTTGGAAAAGAAACTTTATAGAGGCTTAAATTAAGACTATAAAAATCTCCATTCTCCAACACACAGTTTCTCTTCTCTCTTGAACAAAACCTTCTGTCCAAATTTCGGTACCTTTTTATGACATTATTTTCCCTCATGAGTCTCTCCTTGTTTTCATTTTGATTATATATCTCCTGCTTATTAATGTGGCATGGAAGGGACTTGCGGAGTCCCCAGTGGTTCTAGGTCAAGCAGTTTCTTCAAAGAACAATGCTGTCTACACAGAATGTTCCAGATGGCATGGGATTCTTCTGTGTTTAAAATTCTAACATTAATGACCCCACTTTATGATTCTTGTTGGTAGGGAAAATGAGACTTTTCTTCGAGGTAATTCTAATTAAACCCACTAGCTGTATTTTACATAACTTTAGGGAATTACTAAGAACATTCTCTAGGGTATCATCTTCCAGGTAACCATGTTGGGAAAGGTGGAGCTGTTCTAAGGTTGGTCATGAAATGGGGTGGTGTGAATATCCTGGTAAAAACGTCTCCAGAGTAAGTCAGTTCTTCTGATAGACAATGATGGATTTTTTTAGATTATCAGAAGTCACTAGTATAGTATCTCATGGTATCTTATGGGCAGGAGCTAAATTATATCTTAGTAAGTTAAGGATGAGAACAGGGAATCTGGCCTTTGATTCAGCTCATTTCTATACCCTCCCCAACTCCTAGAGGCAGTCAAAAAATAACTGCTTATTTCTTGTACTGAACGTCTCGGGAAGGTAACTCCCAGACTTCACAGAACTCTATTACCCAAGCTTTCTTGGATTTCACATCACCACCCCAGGCACTCGTGAATCAAGAACAGATTGCGAAGATTTTTTTCTTTTCCATAGAAGTAGTTTACATCCCCCACTTACTCAAAGTAAGTGACTTACTTTGAGTCACTGTCCTGAAAGTAAATTTATTAATTGACGAATCTGGGCTTTATCACTGAGAATCAAGATAAAGGAATGTATCAGGTTATAGCTTCTCTTATAGAAATTCTCACTGAGAAGCGAGAAGAGAAAAATACTATACCCAGGTGGGACCTGAAAAATTCACTGCTTTAACATGCCCACATTTGTCTTGCTCTCACAACTTCATCTCTCCGCTCCGCTAGCAAAATCTGGACACACTGGTATGGGAGATAAAGTTAGCATGGGACATGGACGAAGAGAGAAAGAAGAAAGGTAGTTTAAAATTTTTACCATTTCTGGAAATCACATCCTCTCTCTTATTTATTTATTTATTTATTTTTGAGCTTCATGGTGATTTAATTGACAACATCGTAATGTATACAAAATATATAAGGTGATGGTTGTATATTATATTGTACGTACATACATATATTTATTGTGAAAGAATTTCTTCCATCAAATTAATTACCACATCCATTGACTCATATATATTTCAATTATTTTAAAGACTCTTAGGTGCTAATCAATTAGCAAATTATATATATATATATATATATATATAATTTACAGTCAAGAGTTTCTAAACTTTTACTAAACTTCTTACAGTCAAGAGTTTCTAAACTTTTACTAAACTTCCCCACAGTTCTTACTTCTTGCAGCCTCCATTCTCTGTTAATAATGAATCTGACCCTTTTTTTTTTTTTTAAGATTTCATATATAAGTGATACAGCAGTAATTGTCTTTTTCTGGCTGGTTTATCTAGTTTAGTATAATGATCTCCAGATTCAGTCATATCTTCACAAATGGCAGATTTTCCTTCTTTTTAAAAGGTTGACTAATGTTCCAGTGTGTGTGCGTGTATGTGTGTGTGTATACTATTTTCTTTATTTACTCATCCATTAGAAGACACTTAGGTTGTTTCCATACCTTGGCTATTGTGAATAATGCTGCAATAAACCTGAGAGTGCAGATATACCCAGGAGTGGGATTGCTGGGTAGCTCTATTTTTAATTTTTGGAGGAACCTCCCTACTGCTTTCCATAGTGGCTGTACTAGTTTACATTCCCACCAACAGGGTACAGGTTCCTTTCTTCAACATCCCTACCAGCATTTTTCTAATTGCTTGTCTTTTTATAATAGACATCCTAACAGCTGCGAAGTAGTCTCTTCTCATGGTTTTGTTTTGTACCTCCCTCTTGATTAGTGATGTTGAGCATATTTTCATGTACCTGTTAGCCATTTTGTATGTTTTATATATATATAAAATACCTATTCAGACCCTATGTACATTTTTCAACTGGATTATTTGGTTTTTGGTTATTGAGTTGTATGTCCCTCATATATTTTAGAATCAACCTGTTATCAGATAAGGTTGTTTGTATAGTTCTTCTTTCATTCTGCAGGGAAAGTGGTGCAGACTGGAATATTCCACTGGTTGTGCTTATGTTGCCATACATCCAACCCAAGCTGTAGATGTAATTCTGCCTAGCCTTAATTCTTAAAATGACTTTCATATATATATATATATATATATATATATATATATATATATATATATATGGTTCCCTTTTCATTTTTGATCATGGTTTCCTTTGCTGTACAGAAGATTTTTAGTTTTCTCTAGCCCCATTGGTTTATTTTTTATTTTGTTGTCTTTGTTTTTAGTATCAAATATGAAAAATCATTACCAAAACTTATTATATGTCATCTAATTCTCACTAGGCTAACAACTAACAACTCCTAGATGGAGTAAATAACTAACATTAACATTTCTTCAACAAATTATGACAATGCTATTTCTCTCTACCTCATCACTTCTATGGTTCCAAATTGTCTCAGAGTAAAATTTATTTATTTTTAAAGATTTATTTTTATTTATACAAGAACTGAGGGACAGGCCAGAGTCGTGGGAGGGTGAAAGACAGAGCAGAGAGCAGAACAGGCAGACGGGTGGACCGAAAGCACTGCTGAAGGGAGCAGCGGGCGAGGCAGGAGAGGTCTGCAGCGCCATGTGGGAATCTCCCTGGCCGGCCGGGAATCGAACCGGCGCTGCGGAGGCTGTGGACAGCTTCACAGCGCAGCGCTCAACCTGCTGCGCCTCCGGGGAGGCCCTGTCTCAGAATAAAATTTAAAGTCTCCACGGTCCTATGCAGACTTGTTCATTGCCTTCTCACCAGGTGCAACTATTACCACTGCCCTCTTAGACTGTCGTGTCCAGGCATTGAAATGACTTAAAAATTCTCTATATGCTTTCTTCCTCTCCCCAACCCCTCATTTCCATTATCTATTGCTGTGTAACAAACCACTCCAATACTTAGTGGTTCAAATTAGTACTTATTATTACAACTTGTTATTTTGTGGGTTGACTGAGTGTTCTGCCAGTCTTGTGTGAATTCATTCATCTGTAAATCGGTCAGAATTGAGATGATTAGGGCCTCCCTGGTGGCGCAGGCTGTTGAGTGCAGCGCTGTGAAGTTGTCCACAGCCTCTGTAGCGGGTTCAAATACGGCCACCTGGGGAGTTACCCACATGGCACGGCAGACCTCTCCTGTCTCGCCCACTGCTCCCCTCAGCAGTGTATTTCTTCAGTCTGCCTGTTCTGTTCCCCACTCTGTCTCTGGTGAATCCTCTCACCCTCCTTGCATCTGGCCTGTACCCTGTTTCTTGTATGCATGAATAAATAAATCTTAAAAAAAAAGAATTGAGATGATTAAAATGGTCTCACTCACATGTCTGGAAACTTGGTAAAAATGACTAGAAAATTGGGATGTCTCTCTTCCCATGGTCTCTTACCTCTTAGTCCTCTAGCCCAAGCTTCCTTACACAGTGGCTATGTGACAAGAAGGAGGGAATGGAGGCTGCAAGATTTCTTGAGGCCTGTGTCATTTCATTTACATTACATTGGTCAAAGCAAGTCACAAGGGCAGTCCATGTTCAAGGGAGAAGTAGATTCTATTGTTCGACTGTAACATCATATTGTAAGGGAATATAGACCCAGAGTCATGATTAATTGAAGGCCATTATTACATTAATAAAATACGTATGTAAGAATGGCCTTTTCCATCACTTGGTTAACACATATTTTTCAATGGGTTCCAGTTTATAGGAACTCCCTTTTGGGGATCCCATGATCAATTGGGTCAATCTCTATTATAGCCCTTACCACAGGTTTTGAATCAGCTGTTTCCATGTGTGTATCCTTTAGATGTTGAATCTATCCTTTTATCTCTTGGGCATAGCTGAGGACCTAATACCTGGGGGATGTTCACTGACTGTTAGTTGAATGGGTGAGGCTGCATGAGTTAAGGATCTTATCCAATATTACACAGAAAATTAGCTCTAGGATTCCTCAGGAAAGGAAGATATTGTATCTATTTTTAATAATAATACTTAATACAATGAGATAATCTTTTTTGATTTT